CCCAGGTGCCGGGCTCACCTGTCCCGGGGGGGCCGCCCGTGCGGGCAGCGCCTTCTGAGCCGCTTTTTGCCGCTCCCTGCGCACGGGGCGAGAGGCGTCACTTCAGAGCCTAAAGGCGCATCCCGCTTGTTTTCTGGCAGGAAAGCGTTGTTTGCTGAACAGAGGGCATTTCTGATCGACAGTGCCGATAAAATAGTTACATTTTGTAGCGAAAAGCTGCATGAAAAATAGTTTAGAATGGTTCTCCGTGGCGTTCATGAAATGCTGGTGTGTGCCCTGAGCACGGCAGCTGCTGGCAGTGCAGGACAGGCCGTGTCCCCGCCTGGTGCCCTGCCCGGCCGGTCCTGCCTCACAAGCACGATCTCGAGTGGTGTCGGGTGCGAGATCTGCACCTGAGAACACAAACAACGCTCCTTGCCAAGGCCTCTCCTTTCTCTCCCTGCGCTTCCCTTCACTTCCTCCTTCCTTTGGCTTGTTTTGTGTTGCCTTGTTGAAAGCCTGTTTGACCAGCACTGCAGCAGCAGCCGGGCTTGGCTGATACCAAGTTAGCTTTGTCACCCCCTCCCTGTCTGCCTTTTCTATTCTAGCAGAGCTCTGTATGTGAATGAACCTGTTTGTTTTTTATTTGTTTCCCCCCAATTGAATTGCATGTTTGCTTAGTTATGTTGTTACTCCTGATTTTGAAGTCACACTATGTTGGAATTCAGACTCGGTCTAACCACTTGGCAGATATTTAACAAAGAACTACAGGGCTGTAACTCAAAGTGTCCTTCAGGCTTTGGCTTAAAGCACAAGACTGCAAGGTGTGGAGATGCAAATAAGCAATCCATGAAGGTAAAGACAGAGTCACAGAATCATCATGGTTGGCAAGGACCTCTAAGATCACCAAGTCCAACCGTCAACACAAAAAAAAACCCCAAAACAAAAAAAACCCACAACCTTGGCCACTAAAGCATGTCCTGAAGTACTACATCAACACAGCTTTTGAACCCTTCCAGGGATGGTGACTCTACCACCTCCTTGGGCAGCCTGTGCCAGGGCCTGGCCACTATTTCAGTGTAGAAATTCTTCTTAATATCCAGTCTGAACCTCCCTTGCTGCAGCTTCAGGCCATCTCCTGTGGTCCTGCATACTTGGGAGAAGAGGTCAATGCCCACCTCACTACAACCTCTTTTCATATAGTTGTGGAGGGCAATGAGGTCTCCCCTCAGCTTCCTTTTCTCCAGACTGAACAACCCCAGCTCCCTCAGCCACTCCTGGTGTGATTTATATACCTGAAGAGCTCTGCACTGTGCAGACCATGGCAGCTAAACCTGACTGCTCTCTCAGATTGACAGGCAGCAGTTTGAGGAGACTGTCCGAACGCTCAACAACCTCTATGCAGAAGCTGAAAAACTTGGGGGCCAATCCTACCTTGAGGGGTGTCTCGCCTGTCTGACTGCCTACACCATCTTCCTGTGCATGGAGACGCACTATGAAAAGGTGACTCCTCTTGTTTATCCTGTTGCTTGTGTGTCTCACAGGCTTCAGCCAAAGGATTATTTCTTGGTAGTTCTCTAGCTTGCACCATTGTCCTACAAATTCCACACAGACTCTGGCTCTTGCAGCAGAGTTTTCATGTGTACATCAGAGAGGCCTGTTTAGTCAGTGTGAGTGACATAATGAGCGCTTGTACCTGAGAGGAACAGTGTAAGTTGTGTTCTGGCTGTGTGCTGGGTTCTCCTGAGGTTGCTGTGTCTGTGGTGTGAGGGGGCTCTGGCTGCAGCCTGCAAGGGAGGAACTGAGACTTCTGTGCTGTTCTGTTACCAGGTTCTAAAGAAAATTGCCAAGTTCATTCAGGAACAGAATGAGAAGATCTATGCTCCTCAGGGTCTCCTCCTGACAGACCCCATCGAAAGAGGACTAAGGGTTGTATCCTTCTGATGCTGCTTAGGTGGACAAGCTGGGAGACAGTCCATGATGTGCTGCCTCTTTGCCTCAGTGCCACAGTCCAGTTGTGCCTGACCTGGGGCATGGCAGGATGAGTGTTTTGTCTTGTCATCCTCTGTTGTGTCCTGTTCTCTGGTCAGGTTTTATAGTACATTCAGATTTGCCACATCAAAAGACAAGGAAAATGCAACACTCCTTTGAGAGCACAGTGTATATAAGCAAGAGTACTTCCAGCACCTCAGCTGCCTCCTCTGTTTCAGTGAGCTCTAAAAATGCAGTTTGTCCAATTGGAAAATAGTGACCAACTTGCGAGGGTAGAAACTGGTGATGTGAAAGCCCTGCATCACTGTAGGTTGATGTGGTCGCTGTGCACTTGTCTAAACAGCTGTCACCCACATGACTTCATTGTTCTCCATATGTTTTCCACATTTTTCTGTCATACACTTCCTGAAAGAAAAAAAAATAAATCAACTTGAGTAAAAGCATTTTCAGTTTGGTTAATGAGTGAGGTTAATGAATGAGTTAATTTTTGCCCAGCACACAACCAAGTTTCACAGAAGGCAGCAAGGCTCACAGTGCTAGCTCTGAGCCTGGCCTTGAAACAGCAGGCATAAAGTGGAGAGATCAAAGGCTCTAAAATCTTAATGTTTTTCTGCCTTTTTGTTTTCATAATATTTTTATAGTTCATTTCCCTAACAGCTTTTCTGTGCAGATTGAAATTACCATTTATGAAGACAGAGGTATGACCAGTGGAAGATAAAGCTGTGGAGGCTCAGGTAGGTGTTCACCCTGTACCAGATCAATCTTGACCAATTTCAATCTGATTTCTGTGCTCAGGGGTAGATTCTGTGACACAGGGACAGAGTGTATTTTCCACCACTGTAGGTAATCAAAGGCTGTTCACTTAAACATTGTGTGGACTAGGTTTCCTGGGTAAGTAGAAATACCAATACCTGGCATTATGCCACTGAATGTTCATACAGGTCAGGTAACACCAGTTACCTTTAAAGAAATGCAGGTCTTGATTTTGTTAAGTTTTACTTTTGCTGTGTTATGTCCAAAATTGTTCTCTGTTACATAGATAAAAGAATCTTTTTACGTTTCTTGAAGTCTCCCTGTCATAAGGTGGTGTTGGTTTCATTTAGTAATAGTTTCTAATACATGAACTTTCTTTTCTAGCAGACAGCTCAGCAGTGGACGTGCTGTACCCACGTTCCCCTACCTCCTCTAGAGCATCATTCCTCTCTCTGCTGCCAGATCCACGGTGCCATCTACTACAAGGACTAAATTCCTAAAACTGCTACACATGGCGTGACCCAGCTGGTCAGCATCCATTTTGTGGCAAACTTCTAAGCAATGAGATCACTTTTTTGGTTTGTTTGTTTGGGTTTTCTTTCCAAGAAAAAGAAGTGGTAAAGCTACATATTCTTCTGAAAGAGTCGGGGCACTTGGCCCAGCAGAAGTCTAGGTTTAGTCACCTCAGTGCAGTGCTGTTCCTCCCTAGTTCCAAACCATCACTCAGGCTTTGGAAAGCCACGAGGCAGAGTGGGAAATTTCCCAGGATTGAGGCTTCCCGTGCCCAGTGCCTCTGCCTGGCAAGAACTGACTCAAGGCAAAGGGCCTCTCACATTTCCTGTACTGATTTTTGTGGAAAACCAGAAGGTAAAGTGTTACTTGTTTTAACGTTTTGGTTGTTCCTAGAAAGGGGAGGAATAGCTGGACTTAAATACTGGTGTTTTTTCTACTACTGTACCTGTGCTGTTATTGCATCTGTCCATGCTCACCAGGAGAGGGGGGTCTATTCATTCAAAAAACAGTAAGTACAATAAAATGGATGCTGAACCAATAAACATAACAATTCCTACCCTGCTCTGATTTAATATGTGAAGTGTAAAACTGTTTCTTTATGGATTTATTATATATAATTTATAGGAAAACATCGATTTGACAAACTGTTAGATGTTGTGTGAGATGGTTTCTTAATTCCCTCTGCTGCCACACTCTTGAGTAGAACTCTGCATTATTTAGCATCCTCCATGCATCAACATTCCTTAGCAATACCTGCAGAAGTAAAACCCCTACAAACCAAACTGGCTTAATATTTTTCTCTTCTATCCTTTTCCCTTATCAAAGCAAGAATGTCCTGGTTTAGGTTCTGAGAGTCATTGTCCAAGTTTGAGGAGTTAAGGCGTTTAGAAAAGGACACAACTTACCAGAACAGATGCCCTGCTCTGCTGGTGGTGCTGTAGGTGCTAATTCTGGATCTGAAATTCCAGGCTTATTACTCAGCCACTGATTTAATTTTGGGGGCTTTTTTTTGTTTTGTTTTGAGATTTGTTTAATATTTTAATTGTACAAAACTTGTTTTTTTCTAAACTGTAACAGTGTTTGCCTTTCACATCTGTTGCAATATTGGCAGAAGTACTAATGGATTAGTAAAATTTTTCTTACACTGTGTCTGTGTCACGCTTTCTCGCGCCGCCGTGACCTGCAGAGCCACCCCCACCGCAGCA